CGTGATATATCAACCCCTAAGAATTTTTTTAAAGAATGGAATATGCCAACTCAAAATATTCTCTCGACATAGGGTTATCTTGTGGAATCTGTGCAATGGTGCAGTGGATAGGGAGTTTGTCTTGCATGTGCCCAACCAGGCTTTGCTTCCCAACATTCCATAAGGTCCCCCAAACCTGACAGGAATGAGTCCTCGGTGCTCAGGAGTAAACCCTGAGCAACTCAGGGTGTGGTCCAAAAAAATAAAAGCAACAGCAAAGAACAAACAAGGGTTACCTTATTCTTTTCTTTTTTTCTTTTCTGTTGTTTTTTCCCTTGCTTTTGGATAACAACGGACATTGCCCAGAGCAGCTTGGTGCTCAGGTTCTCTTTCTGGAAGTGTTTGGGGGACCATGAGGTACCAAGGATCAAAACTGAGGTCTTCTGCATGCAAAGCAAGGTTCACAAAGCATGTGCTCATCCCTTTGAGCACATGCATTATCTTCAGCTGATTATTTTAAAAAACAATAATTATTTTAAAAAACAATTCTGAAATTGGATTTCAGAAAGAGACAAGAGATAATCAAGATTATAAATAAAAATCATAATCAAAGTGAGAATGAGTTAACTTTAGCTCTTCAGGTTTACTAAGCTAGATCTCAAAAAAGTCATAAAACTTACAGTATTATCTTACTGATTATATATTTAAAAACAAGCCAAGACAATTTTAACTGCCTATGAAAATTAGGGATTACAAAGAAGAGTACAACAAAGATCAGTTTCAAAAAAAGATGCAAGGCAATATCTACAAAAATGAGAATCTGAGGGCGGAACTGAAGCATTGTCATGATGTATACTATCAAAAGTACTGTCACTTGATTTTGTAGATGATAGAATGTGCCTATGTATATTATTTAGGAAAGATTAGTATTTATTTATTTATTTATTTATTTTCTTTTTTGGTCACACCCAGCGATGCTCAGGGGTTACTCCTGGCTCTGAACTCAGGAATTACTCCTGGTGGTGCTCAGGGGACCAAATAGGATGCTTGGAATCGAACCCTGGTTGGCTGCAAGCAAGGCAAATGCCCTACCTGCTATTGCTCCAGCCCCAGAAAAGTTAAAGATATACTCTTTTTTCATTGGGCTGGAGTGATAGCACAGCGGTAGGGCGTTTGCCTTGCACGCAGCCAAGATGGCTGACCCGAGTTCGATTCCTCCGCCCCTCTCAGAGAGCCCGACAAGCTACCTAGAGTATCTTGCTGGCACGGCAAAGCCTGGCGAGCTACCCGTGAGGTATTGGATATGCCAAACACATTAGCAACAAAATCTCCAATGGAGATGTTACTGGGCCCGCTCAAGCAAATTGATGAACAACGGGAGGACAGTGACAGTGACTCTTTTTTCATAGTAATAACTGATTGATATCACAAAGCTTTGAATCACTGTATCACTGCCATCCCATTGTTCATCAATTTCCTCAAGCAGGCATCAGTAATGTCTCCATTTGTCCTAGCCCTGAGATTTTAGCAAGTGCCTCATTGGAGGCTCTTTCAGGGTCAGGGAAATGAAACCCATCATTGTTACTGGGTTTTGGCATATCAGATATACCACAGGGAGCTTGCCAGACTCTGCCACATGGGCAGGATTCTCTTGGTAGCCTGCCAGGTTCTCCTTAGAGTGAAAACTAGAGGTCGCTTCCAGGAACTTGGATTTATAGTCTCTGGATCGTCACCGTTAATGATATTACACATCACCAGGGGCAGTTTGTGGGTGTGACTGCCAAGCTACTGGAAGATGGGGGATCTGGGTGGAGGAGGCCCAGTCCCAATCCGAGCAGGCTTGGAGATCTCAGGCCCAGGTCCCGCATACCTGGGTTCCTCTGCAGTTCTTTCATGCATGCGGCTCATCTTAGTGTGTGGAAAGTGGTCTTAAGCATGGCTGTGGTTGGGTTCCAGTGGTCTTCAGCTGTTGGGGCTCTGCTTGGGGTGGGAAGGGAAACTCAACCTGTCCACTTTCAGCGGCCCTGGTGAGGACAGTCAGGTGCGGGGGGAAGGAGACTCTGTGTTGTTCTCTTCCGGGAGCTTGGCTTTATAGTCTCTGGATCTTGGCCATTGATGGCATTACGTGGGCACCGGGGGCAATTGGTGGGTGCAACTCTCTAGCTAGGGAATCTGGTTGGAGGAGGACCAGTCCCGTTCCAGCAGGCCTGGAGGTCTCAGCCCCAGGTCCCACACACCTGGGTTCCTCTGCCAGTTCTTTCATGCGGGAGGCTTGTTCAAGCGTGTGGAGAGTAGTCTTTGAATATTTATGAAAATTTCCTTCTCTAGCTATACATTTCATTAAATATAAAGAATGTTTAAATTTTAAGGATTTTGAAATTTGTTTAAATACTTTGAAATAGTTTTAAATCGTTAAAAATTTTAGAAAGTACTTTATTTTGCATCATTCAATATTATATCAAGCATTTGGCTTATTTATTTTATTGACTTAAATTTCTTTCCATTTAAATTATAATTATTGGATAAATTATTTCATTTTGAAGGAATTTGTTCCTCTAAGAAGCTGTATCAAATGAGAGATAGAATGCGGAGTTCTGATCTTTGTCAACGCTGAAGAATCAGGGACGCTGTCTCATTTGCCAAGACATCAAAAATCAGATGGGCTGGACACGTAATAAGGTTTACAGACAACCGCTGGACTAGAGCCATTACTGATTGGATTCCATGGGACATCAAAAGATCACATGGACGCCCACCTACAAGATGGTCAGACTTCTTCGTCAAGACCCTGAATGATCGGTTTGAGGCTCTGCATGTTCCTAGAACGAACAGATACCACTGGGCTACGCTAGCATGCAACCGGGATGAATGGAGACGTTACTGGCACCCGCTCGAGTAAATCGATGAATAACGGGGATTAAGTGATTAAGTGATTAAGTGAAGAAGCTGTAAAATCTTTTAAACTATAAGATTTATACTTACAGATTTACACTTATGAAGCATAAGCATAAAATTTTAGTAAATAATCCGGGCCAGAAAAGAACCACAGTTAGCATGTGAGAGGACCAAGAAATCAAGGTTGCTGGTTGCTGGTACCAACCTGCCCTTCCTAGTGAATGCTGCTTCAAGAATCTTAGGAGTCATGTTTTATGTGCCTGTTGTCAATTCCTAGGGAAGATACTATACTTTCTGGTGAGTCTGTCAATTAATCACTCTATCTTCACCTTGATTCTAAACTTATTTTTAAAATAAATAATTACAAAACACAAACAAAATATATTAAGGAGTCTTTCAAGACAATGAGAAATATATCTTTTATGTCATCTCTAAGCCTCCAGAGGACATGTTATTCTTTACTTCAATGTTCCTATGTATGGGAGTATCACCTTCAAAATCTTCATTCCACAACAACACTCTGGCTAAGGTGATCCCACTGGAATCAATCAAGAGATGATTGGATAAGGAAATAATGGGATATAAATATAATGGAATTCTGGACTTTAAGAATAGAGAAAACCAAGCTGTTTATTGCCTAGTGGATGGGTGGGGGTTGTATTATGTTGAATGAAGTTATCCAGAGGTTGAAGAAAAGGTACAGAACAATCTCTCTCATATGTGCCATAGAAAGAGACACAGAGTAAGAGAATAACAATTGCCCAAAGGCAACAGAACGTGAGAAGTGGTAGGCTGAACTGGGGTGGGTGGGGAGTTAAGATGAAGAGACATCTGAGACAACAGTGGGGAGGGAAGTAGGCATTATAGTGGAGAGTGTGATGTTGACACATTATAGCCATAAAACTCTACTAGTAACAGTATTGTAAAGCACAGCACTTAAAATCAGTGTTAACAAAAGATTCACTGTTGGGCCAGAATGATAGTAATACAAGGGGTAAGATACCATGCAGGTGGACAACTGGTGGGATATCTGGAACTACATATGGTCCTCCAAGTACTGCTAGTACTGAACCTTGAGCACAGAGCTGGGTGTAAACCCTGAGCATGGTTGAATTTGGCCCCAAATCACAATTAAAATGCACTGAGGAGGTGAATTTTCCATGCTCCATCTATTTACTATGCTTAGGGTAGAGAGGCCCTGCTGGGGTTTTGGTAAATCTCATCACCAAGCAAAGGGATCACTGTTTATAGCTGCTACCTACAACTATTGATATGCTATGCAAAAGTGACTTCTGTCGAGAGTGGTTAAGAAGTACTTCTTGGCGAGTTGCAGATCCTGGCTCAGGAGGACAAGGTGGGGTACCTGGCTACCTCTTATGGGCTTCTAGGTGCTACCATTGCTGTCATGATGCTCAGGGGCCGCACTACTGAGTCATCAAGCTCCAGGTCGAAGAAGAACCAACAGAGAAAAGGAGAATAATCCTGACATATGGCAGCATGATTAACACAGAGCATCTGGAGAGGATTGGCTTTAGGAACTTACAGAAAAGCAGTCAAGACTAGAGAGGAGAACAATGCCTTCCAATGCTGTCTGCACAGAGAATGATCTAGAAAACAGTAAGGAACCTGTTGAACAGACCTCATGACCTGAGACATTAGCAGCTTGTGAAACAGAGGCAGGCACCAACCTTTTGGAAGCTTTCCAGATAACAGTGATATAAAGGTATTGCAAAACACTTGTGTCAAATTTCTTTCTTTGTGCATATTTAAACAAGGCCACCTAGTAAATATGCACTTTGGGTCATGATTTTTTCAACTTTGTCCCCTCAAGATTGCCACTGACCATAGCATAATTGAAAAATATTCATTTTTAACTTTCATTTTAAAATATTTGTTGTCTTGGAGCCAAAGCAATACTACAGTGGGTAGGGTGCTTGCCTTGCACGTGTTAGAGGCAGGTTCAATCCGATGCATTCCCATATTGTGGTCCCTGAACCCTCCAGGAGTGATCCCTGAGCACAGAACCAGGAGCAAACCCTGAGCACAGCTGGGTGTGATCCAGCCCCAACCCCACAAAGAATGTTTGTTGTCTTAAAATAAGCCGATTACCTGTTCCTTTCACTTACCTCCCAAATAGTATGTGTCACCAAAATGAATCTGCCCATGTAGGGAATGTGCTATGGAAGTTGCATTATCATCTACTGTCATACTCAGGTGACTCCCTCTAGTAGATATGGACACAGAATGCCACTGTCCATCATTTAGTGCAGAACCTGAAAGTAAAAAAAATAAGTTAAAATAAATTCCTAGAAACTCTACAGATTTTGCCTCTAAACAGGACACATGCTTGAAAATATAATGCACATCTTGGATCATCTTGCAAAGGCACAGTGAGCTCAACCAAAGTCTGTGCAGCACATTTAGCTGCTTGGACAAAAGAAATCACAATCTGGAGGAGGGATGGAGTCTCTTGGAGAGAGAGAGATTAAGAAACGCTAGATGCGAGATTGTGGGGAAAGAGGTGCACATTATGCAATTAGGCAATGCACTTCGATTCATAGATTGACCATTGTTAGCTAGGAGGAGGGTACAGTCCATGCTGGTTTAATGACAGGTTGATCAATGAATTTGGTGATTAGAGGGTTCTCATATCTAGGCAAATATAATCTATCATTTACTTATATATTTTATAACCTAATTTACAATGTTCAACTTGCAGTATTATAGTCTGCATGCCCTCTGCCAAGACTGTAGCATTTGGCAGTCACTATCTGCTGTCATTTCTTGTATGGCAGTAAAAAAGGCTCATTTCTTGATACTATCATTCAGTTACTTTGAAAATTACAGACATGTGACTGGAGAGATAGTACAGTGGATAGACTGCTTTCCTTGCACATGGTTGGCCCCGGGTTACATCCTCAGCACCTCAAATTGTTCCCCTGAGTCCAGCCAGACAGCATCCACAGAGCCAGGAGTAAGCCTGGAGCACAGTTGGGTGTGGCTATTAACAACCCCCACCCTGTTTTTAAAAATGTGAAAATTACAGACAAAGAAGAAATGAAATAATGAAGGGGCAAAGAGGTACAAGAATAGAGTCCAATTATTTCACATGAGTATGTGGAACAGCCTTTTTTTTGGAAAAGCAAAAAGTTTTTATTGAAAAACTTTAGAGAGATGTGAAGGGAGGGAGAGATAAAGATATGGAGAAAGAAATAGAGAGAAATATAGAGGCATGTTTTTCTCTCTCACTAGAGAGGGGGAAAAGGTAAGAATACATTCAAGGAAGGATGTGTGAGCCATTTCCCAAGAATGAGGAAATCCAGAAAAAGTGTGAAATTCCACATCTCAGGCAGATCTAGGTGAAAGAGACTACACCAAGGGCCTCACAAAAATGGAATTTTCATGATTTGTCCTAAACAATCATAAAATGAACTATTTACAGTGACAGGACATAGGGCTTATTTCAATCTTGTATTTATTTCAATCCACTTCACTAATATCTGGGGAGTTTGTAACATAAGATATTTTATAAACTTTTATGTTAGAAATATAATTTTCCTTACTTTTGTGTACTGTTACTCCCTGTAATAATCTTAAAGATTATTTGGAAGAATATCTTATCAATTTTTGAAAAGAAGTAATCTAAATTATAATAAAACATAAAAATTTGTTGAACAAGATGTAAAGTATTTCAAAACAATGTACCTAGTTATATGTGAGTATACATACACTTGTACATATATATATTTTTAGGGTGTTCATACTTAAACATTTATAAAAATAGAGTTAAATCTGAAGGAGAGGCTCTTAAATATTAAACTAAATTTTTGGATTAACAAAATATGCTAATTTTTTATTTTGACTTTTTATATTTTCTATATTTTCCAAATGCCATAGTGTACTCTGCCAATTAGTATTATTTTTAAAAAACTAATGTTAGTTTATCCAAAAGAAGTCATTTTATGTTAATTATGTTTATGATATAATGTTTTTTCTCAAAGTGATAGACTGGAAAATGATCATGAAGTTTAGTCTGGATTAGTTTAGACATTGCCACCAACTGTCCCATGACGAAGGAACTTAGAGTAAATGAAAAGTGAATGTTGCATCAGTAATAAATAAACCAGTAAAGAGTAGTGGCCCAAACCACTCATCCAGACTTTTTTTGTTAGCTTCTTGGAGGCAAACAATCCCACATTTCAACAAATAATTAAGCTTAGTTTCTCACAGTGGCTCCAAACCATGCAAATCTCCGTCCTTTGTGCTGTAAGAGTTAATCAACCTTGGAGGAAACAAGGCCCTCTCTCTCTCATGGGGAAACACAACACTTGATATGGCAACTGGAGCTTCTATTGAGATGTGGCATACACTACGTCCATTCATATTTCAATTGCAAAAATTAAGCCAAAGGCAATGACTACATTCCCTTCTTCCCATGCTCCTGGACTCCATTAGAAGCACAGATGGTCACTGGTACTCAGCAATGCACAGAGATGCTTGCTTCAATTAAGAGGGCTTAGGACTTGGTCAATCAGGGGAAATGAGTCACAAAAGAAACACCTCGAAATTTGTCCTATAGTAAGTTCTTCTCCACATGGGGAGTTACTTTTCCTTTCTCTTCTACTTTCCAATAAACTTTGCTAGTTTCAAAAAAAAAACAGAAAATAACTTTATTCATTCATTTAATTAAAAACATTATTATCTAATCTGAGTTTATGTTCAGGTTATTAGTTAACCTCATTGGGGCAGACTCTGGATGATTAGATAATAATAGTAATAATAGTCTAGCAGTTTCATTGGTATGTTTGCCAACTAATAACCTGAAAATGATATGGGCTGTTTACAAACCTATCGAGTTAAAAGTCAACCTGTAAGAATTTGTTTCTAGTAAAACTGTTATTCCCAAGTAAAATATGATCATATATTTTCAGTAGACTGTCTGAAAGTCATTTCTATCTTAATACTACATACAGTGTTTATTGTCCAATTAACCAAGTAAATCCATGTTCTTCCACTGTTCTTCAAACCACCTTTTTGATTTTTCCTTGATTTCTGATTTCTGATTCCAACATGGGCTTGAGATCTAAGAAATGTTCCTAGTATAACCCAAAAGATCACGAATCCTGTTGACAATGCAGTTGTAACTATTTTTTCAAGTCATTAAATCTTAATTTTATGCTTCCTGACACATTTACAGATTTACAGGAATGGAAAAGTTTGAAGTTAGTTCTTTGGAGATGAAGCAATAGTACAGTGGGGAGGGTAATTGGCTGGTATGCAGACAATCAAGATTTGATACCCAACAAACCTTATAATCCCCTGAGGCCTGCCAGGATTGATCCCTGAACACAGAACCAGGAGTAAGCCCTGAACACTGCTGAGTGTGGTCTCAAAACCAAACTTACAAAATTCAACTCCTCTATCAGTAATATAATGGGTCTCATTCTCCTGACCCTGAAAGAGCCACCAATAGGGTAGCGTTAAAAAGGATGAGGAAGGAGAGCCTCATAAAATCTCGGGGCCGACCTAGGCTGCCAAAACGAAGGACAAAAATGACTGTAGCTTCAATGCACGTACGCCGGCATCGGATGCATCCATTGAGGACCTGATGGTGCAAGCACGAAAGATCAAGTATGACATCATTGGTCTGACCGAGACAAGAAGGCATCAATCACATCACGCCGTTTTTGACACTGGGGAAGAACTATTCCTCAGAACATGGACGAAAGAGGTGTTGGTGGTGTTGGTGTCCTTGTCAATATGAACTTGGCCATAAACATTGATTCATTAGAATGCCCAAGAACCCAAATTGGAAAATTACACATGAACAGATGTGGCTCACTCCCGGCAGTATCTATCTTTGTTGTCTATGCACCAACATCCAATTATGATGAAGGAGAAATTGAGAAGTTCTACATGGAGCTGGAGAAGTCCTATAAAGAAGACCATACCGTCTAAAAGATCATTGTTGGTGATTTTAATGCCAAGATAGGACCGAGAAGATCAGCCAAAAAACTCCACATCAGGACCCATGGCCTTGAATGAAACGAACAGGGTGAGAGACAGTCCGAGTTCATCACGTTGACCAAGACCATCCATGATAACTCACAATTCCAAAAGGCTAAATCTAAACGTTGGACATGGGAGTCTCCTAGTGCACAGTTCCACAAGAAACTGACCACATCATATTCAATCGATGGTTTTGCCTGACTAATGTCACTATTGTCCCAAAATTCCAAACAGGATCGATCCACCGTCTCCTTCATGCAAAATTCTACTTCACAGAGGAGGGAGAAAAAGCTACAAAGATTAAGAAGAGAACTCCCAGAACGACCACCAACAGGGAGCTCTTTGGCACTATTGCAGAAATATGGGAAGATGCCATCATTGACAACATTGACAAGGAATATGATTGACTGGTTCAGCACCTGCATGATCGTGCGAGGAATGCCAAGAGAGAGATAGTCACAAAAAGACGCCTGTCTTCAAAAACTCTCGAGCTCAATCTTCAATGTGGCTTGGCACAAGCCTCAGGCAACCGCAAGCAAACATCCAAGCTCGCAAAGCAGTGCAGAGAATCGATAAAGGAAGACCTCAAAGAGAGAAGAGCAGCACTGCTGGCAGATGTGGCAGAAGGCAGGAAAAGCATTCGCAATGCCCGTGTGTCTTTCGCCAACTACAAGACCAAGATGACTGCCCTCGAACATCCTGATGGATCTATCACATCTTCCAGAAGGGCAATGGAGAAGATTATCCAGGACTTCTGCTCGGATCTCTTTGATAGCCACATCCACCTGCCCACATACCAAATTCAGCAGGATGGATATGTCGTTCCCAACGTTCTCCCTTCCGAAATCCAACATGTTATTTCGTTGGTAAAAAAGTGAACAGCACCTGGTCCAGACAAGGTCAGTCCTGAACACCTGAAGAACCTGCTGTCAGTACTCATCAATACACTGGCTCGGCTCTTCACACGCTACCTGTGTGAATGCAAGTTTCCATCGCAATGGAAAAACAGCAGGACTGTACTACTGTACAAGAAGGAAGACATCCACAATATTGGCAACTATCACCTAATCTGCCTGTTGTCTGTCGTCTACAAGCTGTTCACTTGAGTTATCCTGAATAGGATTGGCGGAACACTAGATGAAGGACAACCATGCGAACAAGCTGGTTTTCTAAAAGGATTTAGCACAATCAACCATATCCACATGATAACCAAGCTCACTGAGGTTTCTCGGGAGTTTAACTCTTTCTCACATTCATCAATTTAAAGAAGGCCTTTGATTCTGTAGAGACAGAAGCAGTCCTCGAGGCCCTAGCCAAACAGGGCGTTCAAAGTCAATACAGCAGGATCCTCCGTGAGCTGTATTGTGGATTCACTACCAGGATCTCACAATTCTAGAGGAAGGTGAACATTGACGTCAAGAGAGGTGTTCGGCAGGGTGATACCATTTCACCGAAACTCTTCAGTGCCACCCTCGAGTACGTCATGTGACAACTGGAATGGGAAGGAATGGGAGTGAAGACAAATGCAGACGTTACTGGCGCCCGCTTGAGTAAATCAACGACTAACGGGAAGTTAAGTGATTAAGTGATGCTTTACCACCTTTAAGAAAGATAGCTAAATTGTCAGACTGGAAGAAACATTTGTAAAGCATATCTGCAGCATAATAACTACATCTAACTACATCCATTAAAGTGGCCTGGAGTAATAGTACGACAGAAAAGGTGTTTATCTTGCATGTGGCTGACCTGGGTTTGATCCCTGGCACAGTTTGTGGCCCAAAAAACAAACAAAAAATTAAAGACAGTGAAAGTCACCACTGAAGATGGGAGTACATCAGAAGAAAGGCAAAACGAATAATAAAACTTATAAAAGAAATAAGGGAATCAGCCCCGGCAGTCGACCTCCATGACCCAACCACCACCACGCTCCAGGTCATTTTCCACATGCTTGGGCCGAGCTTCACAGCCGAGTGAACATACTCCTAGACATTTTCCATAATTACCACACTATATTTGATTGGGTTCAGACAGTAGGCAACAAATCATAGAGAAATATATATATATATATATATATATATATATATATATATATATATATACCTCTCAGCGAGCCCGGCAAACTACTGAGAGATTCCCGCCCACACAGCAGAGCCTGGTAATCTAGCCATGGAGTATTCGATATGCCAAAAACAGTAACAATAATGGATCTTATTCCCCTGACCCTGAAAGAACCTCCAATACATTGGGAAAGACGAGTAAGGAGAGGCTGCTAAAATCTCAGGCCTAGGATGAATGGAGGTGTTACTGGTGCCCGCTTGAGTAAATCGATGAACAACTGAATGACTGATACAGTGATACAATGATTAAATAAAATGAATGGACAAGCCACTCAACTATCAATAACTTTGTAAATCATGTTTTTTAACGTAAAAATCATAAAATTAAAAAATATACAAACTGATGCACTTTGACACAAACTGTGCTTATCAGAGGGAAGGAGATTGTAAGGATTGGGAGAAAATATGGGTTGAGAAAAAATACCCTGGAGGTTTAAGAAAAAGTGCTGCTGTTATTTTTTGTAAATTTTCTTTAAATGTACTTAACTGCAAAGGTAATCAGCAAGTATCAATAAAAATTTGTCCTTGGTTCTTTCATAAAAAAATAACAAATGTTGAAGTTTAAATGCTTAAAAATTGGAACAATAAAACATTTGTGCAAAGCTCCACTCTCAGCTTTCAGAAAATTCCATTAATATGATATGTAATGAGAGAATAGGTGTTGTGTACCCATGAGAACCAGTAAAATCTATCGTATTCAGATCATATTGCATGAGGATTTCGAATTTACACAAACCAAGATTTAACTTAGTGAATCTCAGTCAACTCAATTCCATTCCTAGGGTCTAAAAGGAACTTCACATTATCAGATTTTTCCATATATAAAAAAAAATTTAATTCCACTATTTAAATATAAAACCCATGACAATGGTCACGTAATATATTACTTTCACATTTAACATTTGTGAAATAACATGTCATGAGTGTGCCTAGATTTACATATTAATGGACTTTAAAATGCAAGATAATCCCCAAAGTTCAATAATGTCATAACTTTAGAAGTTATTCTACACACAAATGGATTCTCCTTGGAAAATAGTCAAATATCCACCCATAGGTACAAAAATATATCCAAAACCAGCAGCCCCCCAAAGGGAAATAGCAGCTTTGACAAGCACTGTAGCACTGAAGCACTATCTTCGGTTGTTCATCAATTTGCTCGAGTGGGCACCAGTAACGTCTCCATTGTGAGACTTGTTGTTACTGTATTTGGCATATCAAATTCACCATGGGTAGCTTTCCAGGCATTGCTGTGTGGGCGGTATACTCTCGGTAGCTTGCCGAACTCTCTGAGAGGGATGGAGGAATTGAACCCCGGTTGGCCGAGTGCAAGGCAAATATCCTACTCTCTCCAGCCCAGCTATGACAAGAGAGAGGAAAATTATGACTTGAAACTGTTTAAAATATATCTGTGTATAATTCCACAAGACAGCTAAAAATGTGTCTTCTCAAAACTAACAAGGATTAAGCTAAGGCATTTCATTATGTTAAAGATATCACAACTATCATTCACCTTATAAATAAAATTATTTTCTGAACTTTTAAAATAATTGTGCTAAACTTCCATCATAATGTTATGTAAACCACAGGTAAAGAAAATTTAGCTTCTTTTGGTGTGATTATAAATGTTAATGGATTCAATTGTTTGTTAATTTTACAGATGCCAACCTTGGCTCAGTCAGAGATAAAATGCCTATTTGTAGGATAACATTGGTTCATCCTTTCTCCCTTGGCCAAGGAGTTTAGGTTTTTTGAGTTACGCCCATCACAGTGCTCCCGAGGCACTCCCATTCCTCTATGTTAATCTTTAACTTCTTCTCTGTGTTCTGCTTCCCTATCTGTTAATCACCTATATCCCCAAATTAAACCCTGTGACTTGGAAGGTCAGATCCTGCTAAGGACTCTGGATTTTGTATTTGTAAGTGAAATATTGTTTTTCTCTTTTCCTTATGTCCTTTGCATGGTTTACTTTACAGCAATGTCCTTTTTGTGTTGACACAGGAAGACAGTTAATTCTGTGCTTTTGTAACTTGGGAGATAATTGAGTCCAAATAACATTTACTCCCAGACATCTGTAATATTTAACTCAACTTAAGCCCTTGTTGCCTTTCGTTCCTAGCACCCCAAAGCAGGGTCCTGATGAAGGGACTGGATGGACCCAGGGCAAGCTGTAAGCAACCCTGGTTTCAAAACAGGACAGGGTATATAAGTGCCATAAAACTTATAATTTAAAAGCACGATTGTGAAGGAATTCTGTCATGACCCAAAAAGAAGTGACTGGACAAGGACCCTGCAGTTAAAACCCTCAGGACAGACTAATATGGCCTGAAGACTGTAGTCTGGGATCGATAGCGAGATGTCCCCAGGAGATCCATCTTTTAAGATTAATATATTTCTTACTGTGTCTATACAAAATGACTAATATCCTTAAGACATAAATTTAAGATAACTGTTTAAATGTTTAAATGTATATGGACTAAGGAAAGGAGAAACACATCCTTGAGCTGATCTCCGAGCAGGAGGAGATCTTTGTCTTAGAAGAGCTTCCTGAAGGAAAGCTTTACATATGTTGATTGTGCTATCTCACCTAGGTGTGATTGGTATCCCCAACCTTTGGAGGCTGGGCTCTTGACTAAGGCACTGAGACCAAGTGCCAGGAGACTAACAGGGGAAAGAAGGAGACAGGAAAGAAGGGCAGCTTGAGACTGGAATGGAGCACTCAGTTAGATTGGAATAGGCACGTCGGGAGAACGAAATAAATGGCGGGACAGAGATTGAAATAAATGGCAACTGATCACCAACCAGCTTGGCGGCCCCGTTCCCTCCTTCATGTGTTTGTTGGCCGCTCTCAGAGGTAGGGGTGGGGAAGTGGCTCATCGCCACCTAATGTACGTGATGAGAGTGCCCACACTCCCTTTTGAACACACACCTATTAGGGAGCACATTTTTACCTGCTGTGACACTCCTCAGTGGATGTACAAGATGGAAGAGACTCAGCTGAAGTTTTCCATCATTTAGAGAAAGACTGAGGTCTCCGGACCCATGATGAAACCCGCTAGTAAATACATGTCCTGCTCGGTTCCATGTCCGAAACTGTAAAGCAAGAGACACTTCATCCTTTCCTGGGGTGCCTGGAACAGCCAAGTAACTCCTGGGGCTCAAAAATGTTATGGGCACAGGCTGAGGATACAGACAGGAGAAAGTCACATTTCCCTGTGGATACAGTAAAAGACACTGTTAGGAACAGGAATGACAGTTTCATTTCAGTAGCAGCAGTTTTCCAAGATTCATCTTTTTTTGCAAACATCTCAGCAAACACGTATTTTAAATATTAGTCCTCTCCAAGTAGACAAACAGAATCATTCACAATCCTTCATACCATTCTACTCTGGATTGGTCAATGTTTGTTTGTTGTTGTTATTTTAGGGCAACACCCAGCATGCTCAGGGCTTACTCCTGGCTCTGCTTCGGGAATTACTCCATGTGCGGTTTGGGGGACTACATGAGGTGCTGGAGATTGAACCTGGTTTGGTCAGGTAACCAGCAAGGCAACCACCTTACCTGTCTGTGGTACTTTCCCTCTGGCACCTAGTTTGGTCAACGTTTTAGGAAATTTCCAACTTCATTCCTCAATGTTAGCAAAGGGATCTATAGCAACTTTCTCCCTGAGTTTTTGGGCTGAGTAAAAGATACAATAGACGAGAGCTTTTCTCCCTTGAGATGTTACATGTTTTCATCAGTGAAACGGGATCATGAGTACCAGGAATTCTTCTATTCTTTTTTTTTTACTCTGCACTTTCCTTCTTTTTAAAAAATTTTTATTAGTGAAACACCATGAGGTACAGTTGTAGACTTACAAATTTTTGTGCTTGGATTTCATGGTGGTGGAAAACGGGCACTGGTGGAGGGATGGGTATTTGATCGTTGTATAATTGAAATCCAGGAACTATTCTTGTCACTCAGATGATAGCAACTCTTAGTGGGAGGAATATTTATGCACATCTGAGGGAAAATGTGCAGCCAGCCAAGATGAACCAGAAGCAGACTTACCTCTTCAAAAGTTCTCACAGGCCTTCACCCAGAGGTGTTACTGGCCAAAAGTTTAACCCATCAGTTGGGAATGCTCTTAATTTTTCACAATTCTATTTAAAAAACAACACTTTATAGTCTAGATTATTTTCATTGCTCGATGAACAAATCTCTTTAATCATAATGTCTGAAGAGAAAAATCTGAATGCAATTCCAATTAAGTTTGTTATAAGAACTTTTACCTGCTATTGGATATGTTTTCATAAATTTCACAGGGAAGCATATATGCCCCCAAATTTCCCCTCATCCTCAACAAATATTATGTTAAGAAAAACAAGACTCTAGACACCAGAGCATATTTTGAAATCACTATAATTAGGTCAATGTAGTATTGGTATTGACATAGATATTTCAATGGAACAAAAATAGTCAACAAAAGCATCGGAGATGTTCACATATGGTCAGGATGGAGTGAAAGTTATGATGATTCAACTATGTAGAGGAAAAGATTTGGTTCACTGCTCTAGAAAATAAATAAATGGAAATTTATCAGATAAAAATTAAAATCAATGCTTATATCACATAAAATGATACAGATTTAGATTTTAAAAACAATAAAACCATTATAAGATGTTACAGGAAGATTCATGAGGCCAGATACATTGTCTAAAGTTTTAGTCACATTCTGAAAAAAACTACAAGAAAGTACGTAGATAAACTGATGACTAACAAAAATATCTATGCACCCAACACACCATAAAATCTTTAAAACAAAATTAATACAAAAAATGTTTTAACTAAAAATGATAAAATGTTGTTTACTAACATAAAACTATAAATTAATATGAAAGTTCTTATAAAAGTAAACAGAAAGGTATTCAAAATAATAAGACATAATAATCAATGTTCACATTGATAAGAAAATAAAATACAAATCTATGGAAAGCCAGAGACTGGCACACATCAAAAAGACCAAGACCAATGCCAAAGTGGATGCAGGGAGAAAGGGACTCTCATTCACTGTTGGTGGGAATGCCAACTGTCCGAACCTTTATGGAAAACAATATGGGTACTCCTCAAAAACCTAGAATAGAGCTTCCATATGATGCCAGCAATACCACTTCTGGGAATATATCCCAAGGGCCCAAAAGCACACAGTAGAAATGCCAACTGCTCTTCTATGTTCACAGCTCTACTCAGAATAGCAAGAAACTGGAAACAACCCAAGTGCCCAAGAAGAGACGACAGGATAAAGAAACAATGGCACACCTACACAATGAAATACTACGCAGCTATAAGGGAAAACAAAGTCATAAACTTCGCTTATCTATAGATGAACATGAACAGTATCATGCTGAGTAAAGTGAGTCAGAAGGAGAGAGACAGACATCAAATTATTACACTCAGACTCAGCAATTAGAAGACAGTAGCTCGCCGAAGATTTCTCAGGACCCCATACCGAGCAGATTTGACTCAGGCATCTCAGATGGAGCAGGTGCCTTCTCTCTGCTTACTCCAAATGAAACCCTGGTGGGCACAAAATTCTTAAATAAAAACCCCCGTACATGGGACCAGGGACTGAAAACTCCAGGTCACATGGTGACAAGGGACGGACAGTCCCTCCTCGTCTCTCTTCCTGTATTCCTTGGCTGTCATGCTTATAAACTGTCTCCAGGACCCAGTTAAGTATATCAACTGCCTTCACCCAGAGACTCACAAATGAATCTCAGAATGGATTTAGTCCCTATAAAGATGTCTCCAGATCCCAGTTATTTACAGTTTTAGAATTCCAGGAGAATGCAGCTGCAAAAGCAGCTGTGTGACCTCTCATTATATTCATAATGAGCAATAGAAAATAAATTACCTAGCATCTTCCTGTGGCAGGCAGGCTTGAGTAGTGGTGGGAAAATTTGAAATAATGATGGTGGGAAGGTGTAATGGTGGTGGGATTGGTGTTGAAATATTGAATGTAATCAATTAATGTGAACAACCTGATGAAAATAAAATTTAAAAACTTAAGAAAAGTAAATGATTGCACTCATATTTGGAATATTAAAAAATATAGTGAAAGACTAAGGGCCAGGAAGACTGGACCATAGTTGCAAGCCTGCCTCAATTGCTGGGAGAGAAGGCATATGGGATAAAGGGATCGCCATGACAATGATCACTCTGGATGAGGACTGCTGGCTGAAAATGGGAAAAGGAACAAACATGATAACCTCTCAGTTCCTGTATAGCAAACCAATGCCCAAAAGGAGAGAGAGCAAAAGAGAGAGAGAGAGAGAGAGAGAGAAACAGACAGAAAAACATAGAGAGAGAGAGAGAGACTGGCAGAGACAGAAAGACAGAGACAGATAGACCAAAGACACAGAGACAGGAACAAAGTTCCTGCCATAGAGGCAGGCTGGTTGAGCAGGGGAGGTTTAGAGATAGGAGGGAACCTGGGTACATTGGTGGTGGGAAATGTACACTTGTGGAGGACAGAAAAATGGGTGTTGACACATAGTATGACTGAAATCCAATGAGGAACAACTTTGTAACTAACTGTTATTCAAATAAAAAAATTAAAAATTGAAATTAAAAAAACAAATATTTGGAGTTTTTTTAATTTACCTGTAGTCACATAAGCAGGAAATAACAGTAAGAAATTAGTCAAGTTGACTTAGCTGGCAAGGAACTAAGAGATGGAAAATAAAAAAAGAGTTAGCTTATAGGAGAAGAGAGGTATCTCTCATATTTCAGTGAAAGTATCATGTTACAATTTTTGGAAAGCACCAAAACTATTTGATAACTTCTGAAACTATATAAAACATTTGACTAAAATGTTATATTCAGGAATTATATCAGTGAAAATTCTAAGCAAAAATATATGTACATGTGCAAATGCTTCTCTTTTATTTGGCAAGTGGGAGTTGCAATCACACCCAGCAGTGCTCATGGCAGGGCTTGGGAGGACCATATGCAGTGTTGAGGATCAAATCAGGGTCAGTCATCTGCAAGACAAATGCCCTACCTGCTGTACTAGCACTCTGGCCCCACAAATGTCTGCTTTTAGTAATCAAAAAGCAAGAATAAAGCAAATGCCCTCACTAGGAAATGACCAAATACATAATACTATACTTTCATAATGGAAAGTTTTAAAGCTACTCTGACATAGAATTAAATCACTGAAGTGAGATGTTGCTGTCAGAAAATCAAAATGAAAAATAAGCTTTAACAATTTCATTCTTACTAACAGTATAAAATGTGGAGGCATGTGTATGCATTAATATGTGTGACTATCAGACTAATGATTTACATAAAATTCTTTTTATATATATATAGATAGAAAGACAAATACTTGATTAGTATCAATGTGGCTTGGTTGAAAAGCAAAACTCGTGGGTAGAAAAATCAGAAGTAAAAGTAAACCAACAAAGAAATAGCAATAGCAGCCAACTTTCAAGGACTCGCTCATCTCCCCCAACCCAGGTGCAGGCTTGGTGGGAATGTCCCAAAGGATACCAGCTAGATGAAATCCAAATAAAAATCCAACCTCAAGATATTCTCCCCTCCACATCATATATGAACCATAAATTACCCTCTTATGTTAAACTTTCACTAGGGCAGCCCAAACACCAAAGACACATTAGGCCAATAATTTATTAGCCCCACCTCAATTAATATTACACCAAAAACACAATAGTAACAGTAAGCTTGAAAGTCTAAACTGCACAGGTCACAATTGTAAAGCAAAGCAGAAGCCCACCAAGCTTAGTTAGTGAAGAGACTAGTCCAGAAAATCAAATCAGTAATAATGCACTAGACAACCTCTCTGATGAGGAACTTAGAAGGGAGCTACTGAAGATGATTAGGGAGCTAAATTAAACACACCACCAAAACAATACAAGAGAATCTGAGAGCAGAAATGTGGAAAATGAAAACAAAATTACAAACAGAAATGACAGATCTGAAAAACCTGGTAGGTGAATTGAAAAACTCAGTGGAAGGCCTAACAGTAGAGTAACAGGTTCTAAGGAACAGAATCAGTGAGCTTCAAGGTGACGCAGAGAATCTCCAGACAACAGCAGAAAATGGAAAAGAGTCTCATAATGAACCAACAACTGTGAAGAGAAAATCGGAATGAAGCCAAGAGGAATAACATACGAATCATTAGAGTCCCAGGGACAGGAAGAAAACCCTGA